TTGCTTATTAACTTAAATGCTTTGCTTGTATTAAATCTTTAAATAGGGCAATGGATGTGTGGAACAATATAAGAAGAATAATTCAATTATCTGACGATGAGGAGGATAATGAGAGTGTCTTAATATTTGCTACTCTTTTAGAAGAGCAGAACTTCTATCAAAAGAGGCGTTGTAGGGATTCCATTTTACAAGGGGAAACATATGTTATGGAGATTTTAAACGGCCATAGAGAAAGATGTTATGAAAATTTTAGGATGTACCCTGAAGTTTTTAGAATATTGTGTAGTACCCTGAAAGGTATAGGGCTGAAGGATTCTAAATTTTTAACTGTTTATGAACAAGTGACAATCTTTTTGCTCACTTTATCTCATAATCAAAGGAATCGTGTTGTAGCAGAGAGATTTCAACACTCCACTGAAACCATTTCTAGACACTTCCATGCTGTGTTGCATGCAGTATGTCAGTTGGGCACCCATATCATTACCCCTCCTAATTTTTCTGTGATTCCGAATAAGATTAGAGAGTCTTCTAGGTTTTACCCTTACTTCAGGCATTGTGTGGGAGCTATAGATGGAACCCACATTCCTGCAACTCTGCCAGCAAGTACACAACTTCCATTTTGTGGTAGAAAGGGTTATACCACACAAAATGTAACGGCTGTATGTGACTTTGACATAAGGTTCACATATGTGCTAGCTGGGTGGGAAGGCTCAGCTAATGATTCGAGAATCCTAAATGAGTGTACTGAAAATGAGGCAATGAACTTTCCAGCTCCACCAGCAGGTAATATTTTTTATAAATTCACTTAATATATGGTTAGTTTATCATACTGTATATATCTTTATGTATTCTAAACATGGCAGGTGAGTATTATTTGGTGGACTCAGGGTATGCCAATAAGCCTGGTTATTTGGCCCTATTTCGAGGTCATACTTACCACTTTCAGGAATACCGTAGGACTAGACAACCTCGTGATCAGGAGGAAGTGTTCAATCATAGGCATTCATCTTTGAGAAATATAATTGAGCGATGCTTTGAGTTATTGAAGATGAGATTCGCTATTTTGAGGGCAATGCCTCCTTATAAGTTTTCAACACAAGTATTGATTGTAATGGCTTGTTGCACATTACATAATTTTATCAAAAATCAGCATCAGCCTGATGACATATTTGATGGTAATGATCTTCCTCAAAGTGATGGTGAAGATGATGAGATTGTTGAGCATGTGCCTTCGGCTCAGCTTCGAGAAATGGATCAATTGTGTAATACTATTGCTAATCAGATTTGGAATTCTCTTCAGCACTCTTGATCCTTCTGAAGGTGATGGTATATTTTTTCTTTTATATGTAATATATTTGTTGCTATTGTGAGCTTGCAATATATATATGTAATATAAATATTTTTTGCAGATATATAATTCAACTTAAATGCTATTATTGCAGATATGAAGTATGTTGATGCTCTCTTGAAGGCCACATGTGCTGTTATTAAGATGATGTGTCGTTGCCATTGTTATCCACTTTATGAACTTCTTATTAATTTTTAGTGACAACTACGTATTGTTAATACTTTGTTCCAAACATTTTATGTACAACTTAAATGTGTTTAATTTGTTGGTTGAATATTTCAGGACTTGTAAATGTTATACACTCTATTTCAATTATGCTTTCAATTGAGTTTGTTTTTATTTTAATGTTGTGTTGGACTATACATGTATCAAGATAATAAAATTGAAACAGGTTATTGCAAAGAACTTGTAAATAGGTTATTGCAAATGTTTTTTACAAATGTTGACTCTCATGTAGTATAATAAAATGTGACTAGAGATTATTTATTTTTAATATTGAGTTGGACTATACAGGTATAATGATAATAAAATTGAAGTAGGTTATTGCAAAGAACTTGTAAATAGGTTATTGCAAATTTTTTTACAAATGTTGACTCTCATGTAGTATAGTAAAATGTGGCTAGAGATTATTTATTTTTAATATTGAATTGGACTATACAGGTATAATGATAATAAATTTGAAATAGGTTATTGCAAAAAACTTGTAAATAGGTTCTTGCAAAAATTAATATATATATAATTTGGTGGGGGTTTACATTTTTTTACAAAAGAGAAGGCAAGAATCTGTATTTTGGAGTTAAATTCCCACCAGTGCAGATTTACAAGAGTCGAAAATTATTATCAGAGCTGTGTAGTATTTTTTTTTCTTCTTTCGCTAATGCGAAAAATGAGCAAAATGAATGAAATACAAACCTATAGACAATCATCACCAAAGGAACAAACTATACCAAGAAATTTCAAATAACTTGAAGTGTAGTTTCAGATCAAGATAAGATGCAAAATGGTTGAAATTATTGGTTCAATTATTAGAACTAACATTCTACATTTTCGCTAAAGCAGTTGCTTCCGTAATTACACTTTGGTTATATATATATATGTTTGTGTGTTCAAATTTCAATAAATTTATTAAAAATATATAGACTATTTATATAGAAATAAATTTATAAATAAATTTAAAATTTATAAAAATAAATTAAAAACAATGATAACCAAACATATTTTTTATTTCTGTTTTATTTTGTTTATAACAGTTGGAGTTACCAAACGTATTTTGTTTTTAAAATTCTTGAAACGCATGACTTACCATACGTGTTTTGCATATTTTTGTTTCCGACATTTCTACAGTAAAACATCGTTCCCAAACGTGCTTCCGATTTTTGCCAAAACACTCTAATAGTAAAAACGCTATTTCTATTTTAGCCAAAAACAAAACGCCTAAAGTAAAACGCATGCCAAACGGGCCTTAAGAGACTTTATTCATCAATAACGGAAAACATATAAAAAGAGAATAGTACAACACTCGTTAACCAATCACTCTATTTTTTTTTTTTTTTTTTAGTTAAAGAACCAATCACTCTATTGCCAAGGAATTCATGACAAAAAGTACAAGACAATGATATATTATATATATATATATATATATATATATATATATATATATATATATATATATACAGGGTACATATATGATTAGGCACCATCAGCAGGGTTGATATTGTGCTTGTTTTTGTATTTTTTGGTGGAGGAAGCAACAAATTTCACCACTTCCTCAGCAATAATCTTCTTCACCAGCTGCTTCTTTGGAGGAATCATGCTCTCACTCTTACAATATTTGGACATTGGCTCTTTAGTCCCTCCCTCTCAATGCCCTCTTGTATTTCACAAATGAAAAAGAAAATGCTTTTTAATAGAGGGGGAGCCAATTCATGCTTTTACTATGTGTCATAAATTATAAAATTAAACCCGATACCACTTCATCGATAATCCAAAAGGTATTAAAGTATTTTTTGTGCAGAAAATGACAAATTGTCTGAGTTGGAGGACGAGTGAAGATTCGAAGGCTCTCTCACCAGGTGATCCATTTAATAAAAGGTAAAGTGTAAAAAACCCTTGAAGTATTGACCATTTACAATTAACTTTCTTGAATTACAATTTATCTCCTTGAACTATTGAATTTTTGTAATTAACCCTCGATGTGACATTTACGGCCAATTAGTTATAACGAAAATAGTGAAATTCAATTTTATCCCTGTATAAAACTATGTCATTTCACTAAAAATTTCAGCAACCATAGCTTTTTCTTTTTTCTTTTTTCTTTTTTTTTTTTTTTCATAATTGGGTTTGTATAAAAGAAAGAAAAAGTATTTACAGGCGCACAGAGGGCATTCCCTCAGAATGAAACAGAAATGAAATGTAAACAAATAATGCTAAATAATGTCCCCCTTAGGGACATTATAAACATCAAGAACTTCATATAAAATTTGTCGAGCCACCTCAGAGGTGGACCTAGAACTGTGGTCATGAAATCTTCGATTTCTCTCTTGCCAAATACCCCAAAGCCCAGCAACTAGCATAGTGTGAACCATTTTGCTACTCTGCTGCAAAAACCAAGTCAACAAATCATCCATTGAGTTCAAAAGAGTAAAATCAGTCCTCCAATCAAGAGTGTCTGCCAACCATTTCCAGAAATTCCTTGCAAATGGACATTGAACAAACAAATGATTTTTGGTATCAATCCCTTGTAAACAAAGAGAACATCTTGGAGCCAACTGCACCTTTCTTCTCTGCAAATTATACATAGACCGTAGTCTATCTTGGAACAGAAAGACACCATTAACTGACCACCTCGGTCTAGCTTTGCCCCAGCAAATTTTAGACCAATTAACCTCTGGATTTATGACTCTACAGCTTTCCCACACATTTTTGAATGTGAAATTTCCTCCATTCCAAAGTAACCTATCAGTTCTAAAGTGAATTGTCAATGTACACAAATAATCTCTAATAGGTTTAAAAATATCCTCCTATAATAATTCAAAATTCCATCCACCATCAATCATTAGTTACGACAATGATGAATTCGATGTGAAACCCAACCTTCTGACAATTCTATAGCCAAATTTCTGCAAAAATCAGTCCTCCAATCAAGAGTGTCTGCCAACCATTTCCAGAAATTCCTTGCAAATGGACATTGAACAAACAAATGATTTTTGGTATCAATCCCTTGTAAACAAAGAGAACATCTTGGAGCCAATTGCACCTTTCTTCTCTGCAAATTATACATAGACGGTAGTCTATCTTGGAACAGAAAGACACCATTAACTGACCACCTCGGTCTAGCTTTGCCCCAGCAAATTTTAGACCAATTAACCTCTGGATTTATGACTCTACAGCTTTCCCACACATTTTTGAATGTGAAATTTCCTCCATTCCAAAGTAACCTATCAGTTCTAAAGTGAATTGTCAATGTACACAAATAATCTCTAATAGGTTTAAAAATATCCTCCTATAATAATTCAAAATTCCATCCACCATCAATCATTAGTTACGACAATGATGAATTCCATGTGAAACCCAACCTTCTGACAATTCTATAGCCAAATTTCTGCAATAAAGTCACCCCCTCACACCAAGGATCTGATATAGCTTTAAAGAACTACCCATCACCAATTGAGAAATGAATTGCATTAAGCAAAGTTTCTCTAACATTAATCATGTTCTTCCACAAGATTGAATGTGAAATCTTAGGAATAACATTCCAAAAATTAGAAGATGTTGTATACTTGTGATGAAACCAAGATATCCAAAGCCTATCCTTGCTTAATAGGAAATCCCAGGCCAAGACACACTGAGAAGTGACCTGCAGATCTTTCAATTTCCTGATACCCAAACCTCCCTCATCTTTGGGCCTGCATATCATATTCCAGCTCAAGAGATGAAGTTTATTCATATTTTCCCTGCTTCCCCAAACAAAATCTCTACACATCTTTTGAATTTGATTGATGACTGCTATAGGAAGTTGAAAAACGCTGCACCAGTAAAGACATGTAAGAGTAATAACCGACTTTATCAGCTTAGCTTTACCTGCAGTACATAACAACTTAGTACTCCAATGAGAGAGCTTTTTGGAGATTTTATCAATAAGAGCATTACAATGGAATTTTCTGAAACCAGTAGAACTCAATGGTAACCCCAAATATTTGAAAGGAAAGACATCATCCTTGCATTGAAGCATGTTCAAAATTGATCTCTTTCTTCTGGCAAACTTGGAAAAGATAACACTACTTTTCTGATAATTGATATGAAGACCAGCAGCATCCCCAAAAATCTTGAAAATATGTTTAAGTGTTCTAGCATTAGAAACTGAAGCTTTGCAAGTAATCAAAAGATCATCAGCAAAAAAAGTATGACAACATGTGGATTTTGCTTTCAAGGCAGTATTTGACAATGTAAGTCTCCCCTCTGAAATAGAAGTATTAATAAGCTGAGATAATTGATCAACTACCAAAATAAATAGCAGAGGTGAAAGGGGGCATCCTTGCCTTAATCCTTTTGAAGGTTGGATAAAACCAGTGGGAGATTAATTCACAAGAATTGAGTATCTAGTGGAATGCAAAAAGGTTCCATTTGATCCAAATAAGACTGAAACCAGAAATGATAAGAGTCTTCAAGAGGAAACTCCAAGAAACTGAATCAAATGCCTTAGTAATATCAATTTTTAAGGCCATGATATGATGTTTGGATTTAAATTCACTAACCATTTCGTGTCCTATAATGATTGCATCTTGAATTTTTTGGCCTTTAATAAAGGCACTTTGTTCCAATCCCACTAAATTAGGAAAAACCAAAGCCAGTCTAGCAGCCAGAATTTTGGAGATAATTTTGTAACTGAGGTTGCATAAAGCAATAGGCCTGTAATCTTTAGGATTGATTGCATTTCCTACTTTAGGTATCAAAGTGAGGAAGGAACTGCTCACCCCAATTAGAATAGAACCCTCAATGAAAAAAATATTTGACTGCTGCACTAACTTCAGGTTGGACAATAGACCAAAATGATTGATAAAACCTAGCTGGGAAGCCGTCTGGACCAGGGGCTTTATCTGGTTTGAAATTCATAACCACAGCTTTGATCTTTTCATCTGTTATAGGAGTATCTACAACCAATTTGTCATCAAGAGTTAAATATGTCTCGGAGTAGCTTTAAATGCACAAGCAGTATTATTCTCTTGAAACAAGCCTTGATAATAATCCACAAACACCTTTTTTATCTCATCTGTTTGAGTTTTTACTTGTCCAGTATGATCTTCCACAGATGTAATTGCGTTGAATTGATTGTGCTGCTTCATCTTGGAATAAAAGAAGGCTGAACATCGATCATTATCTTTGTGATACCCCCGAATTTCCGGATGCGGGTTGGCCAGGTCCACGCCCGATAACCCGAGAATATCAAATCAATTAGTAATAATCGAACACAGAATACAAATAAAAAAACAAGAATAAATAAATTGCTGAAAAGAAACTAGAATAATAATCCAAAAATCTCAGAATAAAATTTAATTAACAAAGAATGATTCTGATACATCATACTTCTCCATTTCTATTACAACTTGGGAATCCATCTAGTGGACCCCTAAAATATCTCACTAAACTCAAAAGATTGGAAATGAATCCCAAGTCCAAAATATGAAATAAAACCCTGGTCATCGGTGGAGTGAATAACTGTATCTACTCAGTACGATCCAGCTCCAAGTCTAGAACTAACAAACACCTGTAAAAATAAGAGTGGGTTAGGCCCACATGCAAATTCTTCTCTAACTACAATCCAAACAGTGACTCGATACGCAGATACACCCTAGATATCTCAACAATAGCTATCTAGTCCATACATATATATATATCCACACTAAGGGACATTCACTGGACTACAGTAGGGGTCTCAACCTGAATAGAAGGCAACATGCGAAAACACACCCAAAGGTGGGCATGAGTACCTAGACCTAACAGGGTACACCTCAACCTACTATAGCCAGCTATGCATCCACTGCATATACGCACCCTAACCAACGAGTCTGAGGCTCAAGCTCATCTCGTGGTACCATAAACATATATATAAAGTCCGTCCAAAACCAGGGTATGTAGTTCAAATATTTATTGAACTGACATACAATAAATAAGCTAGTTAGTCTATCAACTTATTCAGTTGATATAACTTAACTATCATCCATTAATCCAGGAAGCCACTCAACTTAGTTGCAGTTGATTTGACTTAACACAATTAGGATTCAATATTTTTAAATCCATTCCTTTAATCCATTAGGTTAGGTTTAGGCGTTTTGAGCTAAACCGTCCCCTAGTATGTCACTGTCCCATACCGGTGCATACAATCCTCCATATCCATGTAATTGACAGAATATATTTATTCAGCAATTTAAATCAAAAACCATGTAAAAATTACAGACTATCAATAATAGTACAGCAATTTAATAACTAAAACCAAAAACCAGGTAATTGCAGAATAGTTTATACAACACTACAGCAATTACAGTTAAAAACCATAATCCAACTACTTATATGATAATATCTAGATCCCACAATTTGACATCCAAACCATGTAAATTACAACCTATAAATAACAGTATAGCAATTTACATTCTAAACCATCCCAAAAATTACAGAAGACTATTTATAGTTTCAGCAATTTAAATCCAAGAGTTAAACCATGTATTTGCAGGAAACGGTTTAAAGGTTCAACAACTAGCATCCATAGCATGCGTAGATCACATCTAATATGTCAATGACTCTATTATGCATTAAAATAAGTTCTTTTCAATCATATTATAGTCTAATAAAATTGCCAAATTAATTCAAGCAATTTAATTCTCTCCTTTCGGTAACTGTGTGCTAAGTTGTATACTAGTATACGGTTTAATCTTTTAGCACAAAGCCACAAAATGCTACAAGTCTAATTTTGTTAATTAAAAGTCTCCATCATACATCTAAACTTTAATTTAGAATCATATTGTAGCACCTTAAATTGTCAAATTGAACTTAGGCAATTTAACTTCCTTCCGGTAGTTAACAGCGCGCAAGTTGTTAATTAGTGCACTGTTAATTCCATTAATACAAAGAGGGTATTTTATACAATCTAAGACTTTGATTATATGTTAAATTAATTACTAAAAAGCCCATTATAATTTTAAAACTGTTCAGGAACCCCAAGTGCTTAAAACAGTAGCTAAAAAGGTCATGTACGCACAAAACCAGGAAAGAGCCTGCTCTAGAAAAATGGAACAAGCTCAATGTAGCATAGAGCCGGCTCTAAACCACCTTGGAGCCGGCTTTAAACAGGTGGGAGCTGGCTCTTGGCATTCCAGAGCCGGCTCTCTCTCTCCCTCTGTGAGCTTTCTCCGTTTCAGCTTCGTTCTGACCTCTGTTCCAACTCCGGCCAGTTGCTGCCTTTCAGTTTGGTTTTAAAACTAATTTAAGAGTCTTATTTAAGCCTAGAATCATTCCCATGATTTGTTTACAACCATTTGAAAACAATTACAGAGATTAAACAAGCCATTAAACCAATATGTTTGAAGAACAACACTGAAACTAATTTAAGAAATTTCAGTTCTCTTCCAAACCCTCTGTTCCTCTTCACCACTGAACCTAAGGATCCTATATAAATCCCTATGACATCCCCATGGTTTGTTTGCAGTAGATGAAATAAATTACAAAGTCTAAAGTTACAACAGAGCAACATGCTTAAAGAACTGAAAATTGAAACGAGACATGTAGAAATTGTAACAGTTTTGATTTCAACACAACCCGATCATTAATATAACATATATTAAACATGTAAATTCTAGTTACTGATTGATTAAACCCTAGAGATTATCTAGGTGCACAGAACACGAGCCAAAGGGAAGGAGAAAGTAGAAGAACTTGCCTCTGTGGTATTTGAATAAAAAACTTGTCGCCGTCTTTTAAGGTTTTCCGACGACGTCCAATTCATTGTCAATCTCCTATTATACAACCTTCCCTCCTCCTAGGCCTATCCTTTAATCCGCAGTAGAAACCCTAACAACAAATCCCTCTATTTTCCTTACAGTTTTCTCTCTCTGTTTTCACGTCCCTCTATATGCTCACTGTTCGTGAATAGGGTTGGTGCTTTTAACCCTAAGCAGATTTATAACAATATATATAGGCATATATAACCTACATCTATTTGTATTAGAGATGGACACCCAACTAAACCCTAATCAGCCCAATAACGTGGTCCATCAAACTAAAACCCTAATTTACATTAAAATGAAATACATTAATAATTTAACCTAACAAAACATTTAAAAATTTAAAACTAATTTAATTAAATAAAAGAACATTAAAAAAAAACAATTAACCAATTAATGCAAATAATTAGACAAAAACAAAATAATCAATTACACAACCAATCCAAGTAAAGAAAACAATTAACCAATTAAATACAAAATAGAAACCACATAACCCATATAGTCACGTAAGCACCTAAAATGCATAAAAAAATAAAAATATAAATTCCAATTATATCCTTTACAAAATTTAGGGTATTACAATCTTTGAGCCAATGAATTCTGGACTTTTGAGCATATAGAATCTCTTGAGAAGATAGAGCATCATGGTACTCATCCTTAGCTTGGTTCTCCTTTGTAAACAAATCATTTGTAGGATTATCAAGGAGTGATAATTGAACACCTTCTAAGGCTAGTTTAGACTTGTGAACCATAGCTTCTTTAACACAGCACCACAATCAAACATCCACTCAAAACGATGACTGCTTGGGTCGAATGTGTGAACCAACAAGTGAGGTGAAGGATCGGGGAGATCTTTAGGCAATCGTAGATCGGTTTTTGGTAAGCCTCGGATTGCTGCTATGTTATACCTCCCAATTGGTTATAATCCACTAAAAATTAACAATGTGCCATCACGCCGCGAACCGCCCCATCGCTGATGAGTTCACTCCACCGTCCTTTCAACCGCCGGCCGCCATCATTCGAAGCCAACCTCGCAGCCGTTCAATCCCGCCGGCCGCCATCAAACCCAATCACGACCGAGCTTCTTCATACCAGCCCATCACCAGAATCGTGACTTCTTTAGTCGCTAATTTGCTGCTGTCCTAAACCAGCCGTCTCCACTGGCCGTGCACACTGAGCTCAAGGTTCCGAGCACTGCCGAGCTACGCCTTATCCGCCGACCTCCCCATTCTAAGCTCACCGCCTCCTCTATCATAGTTGACACCATCAAAGCCGAGCTAGCCGCCATGAGTTCACCATCACAGCCCGCTGCTCACCGCCCCAAGCTCTGCTCCGTCGTCCATCTCTACCAATAGCCAAGGAATTTTGGGGCACAATGATTTAGAAATTTTCGTTTTATGTTTTGATGTGTCCATGGAGTGAGTTTTTTTGGGATTTTCTCAATTTAAGGTTCTAAAAAATTAGGAATTTTCAGTAAAGGATGCGTTGACCCAACTTCTAATTTTTTTTATTTTTTTATTTTTGGGAGAAATTAAAGGTCATGAAGTAGCAACAATAAATTGTTTTGGGGTCATGTTTAACAGTCCCTGTGGTTTGGGTTGAATATGATGATGGGGGTGGTGGTTGACGATGAGGGTGTGTGTGTTTATGTGTGTGTATATATATATGTATTCATGATGGATATAATATATACGTTTATACAGGCTGGATATAATACAGAGAGAAACATAAAAGGGGCATTGTGGTCTTTTAGCTTCATAAAGGGTTGTGTGGTCATTTAAAGAAATTTGGGTTATCACGTGACCCGTCATGTGCTTCTTCACGGTCAAATTCAACCGGCTGATCACCGAACTAGGTTAATTGTAACAAAATGGTTAGTTCAGGGGGTTGTATGCCAAATTATTAGATCATGGGGGTTTTCTGCTAAATGGCCAATAGTTCAAGGGGTTTTTTTGCACTTTACCCTTTAATAAATGAGATGGGTCCACTTACCCACATAAAATATTTCACCTAAATTTTTTTTTTTCTTTCTTTTTCTATACAATCACAGACTTACATAGTTATATGTGCGTCTATACGGAAACTTGAACTTTTGACCTTCTTCTTTAAAAGGCGTACAAATACTATTTGGTTATAACCTTTGGTGGAACCTAAGGCAAGTTATATAAATAAATAATTTTGGGGCTTTTCTACTTGTTGAAACCTCAGTCGACCTCTTAACTATATAAATAAGATATATTATAACCTCAACAAAAAAAATAGAGAGATTTAATAATGCGCCAAAAGATTTTTATACTTTATCTCAACTTTTTTTATTTCCCCTTTCCCTTCCATTGACATTCCATGTT